TATCGATAACAATATCTATAAATAGATATATCGATATATATAACGATTGCAAAATCGATAAAGTTATCGATATCAAGATCGGCCAAACAAAGTTGTTCTTAGAAATTGCCTTGCAAAAATACATAAAACTCAAGGGTGGACCGCATACTTTTTTTTTGTTTGCTTGTAAGGTAGTACGGCCTAATGGCAGAATTGCAGTATTCAGTTTTGCATATGGAAAATGGGAGTTAAATAAAAAGTTTTCGCAGCAAGTTTGGTTGAATTTTTGAATTTTGTATATCAGATTCAGACGTATCATGAGTTTAGTTTTCTCCGAACCGGTTCACTTTTCACTTTTCATTTCCTTGCATTTACTATGGGCGAATGAAAGATTTTCGGGTAAATTTTTTTTCGGACGAAACTTAGGACAAGGCCTATTCCATATTTTAGAGGGTGTTTGTGAAATATTTTTTTCATATCAAGCTTCATTTTCGTTTTCGTTTTTTTTTCGATAAAATTACATGAAAGATATATCTAACTACGCATAGTTGTCAATTTATACTTTTTTCCAAAGCGCAAAATTGTGTTGTCAAAAATATTTCGCGAGTTCAACACAATTACATATATATATTATACTGATTACATAAATAGAAACATTTCGTATTTCCTGTGTCTCGTTTTCTAGATTTTGACTTGTTCAGAAAAACACAAACTTCCTTCAAGAACTGCATTCCTTACGTCATTATGTACATAAGAACTTTTTTAACGACTTTCGTGATTGAAGTATAGTGGAAAAAAAACTTTTGACCTTGTTCTTCGCTATAGAATACAAGATTGTCTGGGAATTGTTAGGACGACCGATTTCGAAGTAATTTGAAGTCCAGGCAGGACGTTCTAAATCGTTCACTGAACTTAAGAAATCTGTACCCTTTACTAATATTCTTATTTGTGGGCTATCGAAAATTCTCGCCTTTATATTTTCTTTGCTTAGACCAAGACATTTTCTCATCAGGTATGTAAGAAAAATATGGGCCTAAGCCAATGCTTTTTCTTAAAATTTCAGACCCTTTACTCGATTTGAAGTAGTTGAGCATTATTTTTAACTGGAAACTAACTGAGCTGACAACTAAACGTAGAGGAGCGGTCCAGTTAGAACATTACCGCCGCACACTGTGCCCTTTTTCAATTTTAGCGTGCCAAAAGTCCAAAATAAAATAATTTCCGATGGCCGTGATTTTTGGCATTCTGGCTGACAAATATTCGGCTGCTAAGTCCATTTAATAAATTCATAATACTAAGTTTCCAAGCTGCATTGAGGATTGATAATTCGCTATATATTTAAACAAAAAATATTCCAAAAAGTAAGTAATTGCGAAAACATTAAGATTTTTACTGGAGCAGATCTTTCGAATCTAACTTCATCTAATCTGGTGTTTATATGCAAACTAATAAGGAATATTTCTACTTTTAGATTTCGTAAGCACTTTTTGCGCAAGTCTGGACAATTTTTTGATTTTCATTAATAAAAATGACAGTCATCCGAAGCGCACTTTTTGACGAGTGGCTTAAAGGCAAAAAATTTGATAATAATAGTGCTGTAATGAAAATATTTTAGCTAAGGTGGGAGGGGACATTGACCATGAAAGATTAAAAGAGTTTATCGGTAAGATCTGTTGTCAATTTCGTTTAAAATGGGGCTGCTGCTTTCGTATGAATTCCCGTTCTCTGCAGCTGCACTCCAACTGGTTGTCGCAAAGTGTGGATTTATCCGACTTTTTCTTGACGTAACACCGTATTGACGTAACATCAATATCATAGGTACATCCATTTATTGTTACGACTTTTGGCACGCTAAATTTGGAAAAGGGCACACTGTGCGCCGTCTACAGCTACAAATCGGCTATAGGCAAGAAATGGGACCCCAGCCTCACAAAGTGCGCTGGATCAATACAACAGTCGTGTGTATTATACATATTACACTACGCAATTATATGCTGCTGGACATCACTGGCTAAGACGCTCGCTAATTCTAAACTCCACAAAGTTCAAGGAGCGCCATGCTTGCTAGATACAGGAGCGCTGTTATCCCCGTTCACTAAAACCTTGTAAATACCCTTAAACCTTCTTCCCGGGAAACTGCAGGCAAACTACAATTCTGTAAGACTTAATGAACTGCCAGAATGAAAAGACACCAGATTCGCTCATACCAATATTCTAACTATTTAACCCAATACTTTTATTTCCCCATTCTGCATGACACCGCCTCTAAAGCTCGAAATAAGTTATGCACTCGTATCCCTTCGAGGAAGGACTGAGAGAAAGATTCGGTCTGGGGCCACCAAGATAACTCTACAACCATATGACTCTAAACTAAAGCTAAGAGTAGGATATGGGGTACACTCGAACGACTTCTCATTAGACCTCTATTTTAGGCTGCCAGACCTTTGCAGTGTCTTCCGAGCCTAGATCGTGTCCATAAAAGAGGCTTACTTTAGCGTATCGAATCTTTTCCAAATCTGCCACGCAGGAAAGTCCTCAACGAGTTAGTGCACAGTTATCCACCGACTTAATATCGGAAGCTGTAGCAGCTGACATGACCTGTTTTATATGATTTGCGTGTTAACGAAAACCTACCACCGGATGATCGTAGAACGACTAGACAAATGTGACCCAGCTTCGACCATAAAATATCCGACGGAGTCATTCGGTTAGAGCGCCCTCGTGTCAGGAAAGTGACCAGAATTATAACTGGCTACTGCTTGCTTGGTGGGAAGGCATGCCAATCGAGAGATCCGAGTTCGAGTCCTTGCGAACCGGATTTTTTTTTTCATTTTAGAAACTTATTACAACGCTTTTATCAACTTGCAATGTTGTGTTCCAGAAACTTTCGATGTTGTGTTCCAGAAGCTTTCAATGTTGTTTGTCCGACACCATAAAGCAAAGCTTTGAAAAGCTCCTATAAAAAAGCATAGTGAATAGGGCGAGGTAGATGACATCTAGATGTCGCCCTATGTACTACGTTTGCTACACCGGAAATAGACGACACGCCATTCTTTAAATACAATTAATTGGTGCTCGTTTGTATGTACATACATATGTAAATGCATGTGTGTGCACCTTTCTATTAATATCGTTGAATTATTTTAATATCTATTGCAAACTTTTATTCAGACAGGACTAAAAAGTAGAAAATAAATAATATAAAAAAAACTTTTTAATATACAACGCTTTTATAAATGGACTAAAAAGTAGAAAATAATACTTCTCAGTCCCATAGAATTTGTTTTGATAACTTTTGATTTTGAAATTTTAGCAAAAGTCATTATAAACAATCTATGAAATTGAAAATGAAAAGCGTGGGGCGCATGTAATACACTTGAATTGATATGAAAAGTAATATATGTATGTATGTATGTGGGTATATGAATAACGACCGCTTAAAATCGATTCCAAAGTTCTACTTTCGCTGTAGAAATTTTAGGTCTACGTTATGTAGTTTGACTATTGTCAATTAAATCGAATACTTTGTATTGTATGCGCTCCACGTTTTTCATTTTCAATTTCATAGATTGTTTATAATGATTTTTGCTAAAATTTCAAAATCAAAAGTTATCAAAACAAATTCTATGGGACTGAGAAGTATTATTTTCTACTTTTTAGTCCATTTATAAAAGCGTTGTATATTAAAAAGTTTTTTTTATATTATTTATTTTATATATTATTTTTCTTTTTTAATTTAATTTTTTTTAAATTAAATTTTCCTTAATGGGTTTATTTATTTTTATTTATTTATTTATTTATTTTTAGTCTACAGAAAAATGTTTTCTTACAGACAGTTGAGATAAAAAGATTTAGAATATTTAAGTATGAGTGATACATTACAGAGTGAAATAATTATAAATATTA